GCGCCACTTCTGGCTTTCTTTTTTCTTTTTGCTTATGTGGTGCTGAGGAATCGAACCCAGGGCGTCATGCATGCAAGGCAAGCACTCTACCACTGAGCCACTTCCCAGCCCCAAGAAGCTCTTGTTCTTAAAGTTGAGGAGAAAAATTAGATCCTATCGTCTGTGAAACTATTTCCATGCAACAGGCACCCAACTGCCAATCTACTGTAGACAAAGAGAAGTTTCTACATGCTCAGTACCATACTGGGTTCTGGAAGATAAACAGGACACAATTCTTTTTGCCTGTCCTTCACAAGGTAGTTGAGGTTGCTAAGAGCTAATGTTTGCCATTCCTGTTTATCAGTTTACAAAGCACCTTCATAGCTACACAGTCAACATCAATAACAGTGCACAGAATCATTCTCATTTATCAGTTATATATTTATGTACATATACATGTGTATATACGTACACACATACATGTACATATGCGCGCACACACACATATACACACACATATACACATACACAATACACACATAACACATATACATACATACACACATACACATACACACAGATACACACACACACACACACACCCTGTAGACCAAGTCACTTTTCTAGGGTGTCAGTAACAGGAATTATAGATAGGTCTAGAAAAAAGCTTTATTAAAGTTTACACAGCGGGGCTGAGAAGGTGGCTCAGTGGTAGAGCGCTTGCTTTGCATGCATGAGGCCCTGGGTTCAATTCCTTAGCACCACATAAGCAAAAAGAAAAAAGCCAGAAGTGGCTCTGTGGCTCAAGTGGTAGAGCGCTAGCCTTGAGCTGGAGAGCTGAGGGACAGCGCCCAGGCCCAGAGATCAGGTCCCACGACCGGACCAAAAAAAAAATTCACACAGGTGTGGTGGTGCACACATGCAATTCCAATATTCAAGAGGCTGAGGGAGAAAATGGTGAGCTCAGGTCAGCTTGGGATACATAGTGAGATCCTGTCTCAAACAAAAGAAGAAACATACATATATACATACATACATACATACATGCATGCATGCATGCATGCATGCATGCATACATAAAAAAATAAACACAAAGCAGAAACAACCAAAACCAAGTCACATGGGGGAAATCAGAGGGAGTCCTTATTTCTGGCCCATTGTTAAAGCAAATACCTTAACAGACAGACAAGGAAAAGTATGTTATTGCTTTGAGAGCATCTTCTTTTCTGGGTGGGGATGGGGGCTTAAAGTCATGGCTTGGGTGCTCTCTTTGGGCTTTTTTGCTCAAGCTAGCACTCTGTTACTTGAGCAACAGCTCTATTCCCAGATTTTTGCTACTTAATTAGAGATAGCAGTCTCATGGACTTCCTGTCCAGGCTGGTTTTGAACCATGATCCTCAGATCTGCTTCCTGAATTGCTAGGATTACAGGCATAAGCCACTATACCCAGCAGGTTTTGTATTTTTTTCAACCAGTCTTGGGGCTTGAACTCAGGGTCTAGGTACTTGGTGCTACAATGGGCACATAACTAGACAACACTGGGGACACATGTGAACACATGTCCCTTGGATGAAGCCCAAGGACCAAATGGACTCTATGGGTAGAATTTGATGAGGAACCAACAGAGAACGCAGAAAGAATTCAGATAAAATTCCAAGCATATAGGTTGCTCCCGTAAAATGGAATCAGATTCTGTATAAAAGGACCTGTGTTCTTCCTTATAATACACTATGAGAAATCCCTACTCACAGGTCTAGGTTCTGCTCTCTGGAGCATGAGTCAGACCAGTCTTATATTCCCACTGCAGTACTTCAGTTATCAGAAGATAGCTCTCATGTTTCCCTTCAACTTTCACTCAAGTGACAAAGATCACATGGTATTGGTTATCTTCTATGGGGCTCTTCCAGTTCTTTCAAGAACATTCTAGAACACCACATGGAGAATAAATATATTACTCACACACAACTCATGGCAGGTATGGTCTGAATAGCTTTAGTACAATGGAGCCATTATTGCCCTTGACCTGTACATTGTACTTCCCTTAAACAAGTCTAGGATATGGCTATGTGAAAACCTTCCACTATTGTACCCAGTCAGATAAATATTTCAGAACTTTTTATGGGATTTAGCTCTTTCCTTCTCAGCTGAGAAGTTGATGAAGAATAAGAAATAAGAGCCTTGAAGTAAAAAATGCAAGTTAGTGTTCTCAAAGATGGCTGAAATAGTCTCAGTTTACTGTTGCTTTATTGCTGTCCCACAGTGGGATAGGAAGAACAAGAAAGAAGAGACAGGCAAAGGAATCAAATTTTGGTAAGAAAATCCTAAGAAACCAAACCGCTGCTCCCTTATGCCTTTCTTAATATGAACTTGGTTTTATATGTTAAGCCAAAGAAATCTCTATAATTCAGGGCTCACATAAGGTCCTCAAGAAGTAATTATTGGTGGGAGAAGTTATAGTCCTTATTATGGTAAACTCACCAAGAAAGGAGATTCCTTCAGTACCCATTTACTGAGAGCCTGTTGGGCTCTAGTGCTGCTACCCACACCCTCTTCTCTGGGAAATTCACTCTTAGAGGTTGTTTCAACATCTTTACTCACACATTTAACGCTAGGCATACTGATCACACAAACCACAGGGTGAAAAAGACTCTCAACAGCACAAAGGTCAGCGATAGTAGTAGATGAAAGGTAACAAAATATAAACAAATATGGACTTTAGTAAACAAATGTCCACGAACAACCCACTAAGTGTAATAGGCTCCTATACATACTAATGGAGGAAACTATAATAACTGTAAGTGAAAACATTAAGATATTGTAGAAGGCGGGTGCTAGTGGCTCATGCCTGTAATCCTAACTACTCAGGATGCTGAAAGCAGGAGGATTGCAGTTTGAGGCCAGACTGAGCAGAAAAATTCAAGAGATCCCCTTCTCAATCCATAGCTGGATGAAGTAGCACATGCCTGTCATTCCAAACTACAGGGGAGGTTGAGGTTGGGAGTATCAAGTTCCCAGGCCAACTTAGGCAGAAAAGTTTATGAGACTCCACCTCCATGGAGGGAAGCTGGATGTGTTTGTGATCCCCGCAACATGGCTCAGGTGGAAGCAGATCCTATGTTAAAAACTGAAAAACAGGGTTAGAGGTGTAACTCAAGTGGGAGGGTGCTAGATTAAGAAGTATGAGGCCCTGAGTTCGAACCCCAGTACTGGGCTTTTATTTAATAATACATATCACAAAAGGGACACCTAAGAGCTGTTGCAGACAGCACACTGCTTTCGTAATCATGGTTTTCGGAGGAGATTTGGCCTGGGTTAGCCAGGAAGCCCTTGGAGAGATGAAATTTAAGAGGGACCTCCAACGACCATTGTATACTAGATAAGCAAAAATAAAAGGCAGAATGTCCCAGAGAAATGGGGTGGCAAACTGAAAGGGAGGAAAGCTAAATATGATCCTTTGTAAAGTTACTCTAAGTACCCACAAGAGCACTTAACCTCCTGCTAGGAAGGCAGAGAGAGATGGCCGAAAAATGGATGGCTTTCAAGACACTAGTTACTAAACCCATCAGTTTGGTTTTTGGTGCCAGTATTGGGGCTTGAACTCTGGACATGGGAGCTGTTTCTTAGCTCTATTGCTCAAGGTTGGCACTCTATCACTTGAGCCATAGCTCAACTTATGGCTTTTTGTTATTGTTGTTAACTGAATATAGAGTATCATAGACTTATCTGCTCTGGCTTCAAAACACAGTCCTCAGATCTCACTCAGCTTCCTGAGAAGCTAGGATTACAAGCAAGGGTCTGTAAATAACAAGTGCATATGTGTTACACTATAGGCTGGGATTTCTAAAAAGGGGTTACTGGAATCTAAATTAACAGGCAGCTTGTTCCAGAGAGGGCCTAGAATTCCTGGGCCAAATGGAGAACTTTATACTCTCATATTCTCTCTCTCTCTCTCTCTCTCTCTCTCTCTCTGTACTGGAGTTTGAACTTAGGCCTTGTGCTTAGTAGCAGCTCTACCACATGAGCCCCAGCCAATGGAGAAGGACTAAAATGGAAACATGTTAACAAGACTTCCCACAGAAGTATGGTAGAAGAGGCACAGACATTAGAATAAATCCTAATGCTTTCATTAGGATAAATGTCTGTGCTTCTCAACTTGTGACATGTATGAGATAGAAAAGAAAAAAATTAAAAAGCTTCAAATTGTCATCTTATAGGGATACACTTAGATACGAAGACAGGACTAGAGCGACCACTCTATCCAGATAAGCTGTCTAGACACGAGCTCTCATATCAGCACCATGCTCAAATTCTGGGACAGCTCAGACTTACTGCTCTCCCTTCCAGTAAGGTGATTCATTGATGAGAGAGTGTAGAGTGGTTGTAGATGACTTATGTTTACTTTTTCCTCCTGGGGTGGAGACATATTTGGTGCTCCTTGATTTCTTTTGTCAAAGTATCTACATGCTTCTGCCCATTACTTTTTTTTTTAAATAACTTTTTTATTGTGAAAATACTGTACAGAGGGTTTACAGTTACATGAGCAAGATAATGAGTACATTTCTTATCAAGCATTGTTGTCTCCTGCCCATTCCTTTTGACTGTCAGCAGTCTAAAGACTTTGCCAGCTAGAAGCTGCCCTCCAAAAATTACCAAATGCTTCCAAGATCCAACCCATATATTGGTCAGTAGCACAGGGCACTGACTTTGGAGCAATCAGACACACATAAGTCACTGGCCAAGTGCCACTTGTCTGGAGACTGGTGGATTGGGCTTACGTTGAGGCTAGTTTATCTTGGACACTTTTTTTCCACTTTTTATCAACAATACAGCTTCCAAAGAGGGCTGTTAATTCCTCATGTCCATTCTCAAAGCCATAAAGGACTTTGGGGCACAACTCTTTAGAAACCATCATTACTAGAAATAATTGTATAGAAGGAATAGGTGAAAATGAGAACTTGGCAGAGTCCTGAGAGCTGTATGGAGGTGAGACACACAGCACTGTCTCCAGGACCCCCACTTACCAGCTTGTTTTTGACCAACTTTTCTATTGCACTGACAAGGTCTGCAGCAGTCGGTACTTCAGTGGTAGCCTGCCGGGCTGCTAGCAAAGAGGAGGACTGTAAGACATTGGACAGCAAAGGAAAAGCAGATTAGCAAGGAGTGAGGAACAGCAATGAGGAAGCAAAACAGAAAGTTCAAAGCAGAAGGCAGACTAGGGAAGCACAGCTTTGTATTTAAAAGGAAGAGATAACAGAGGAAGGTGGAGGGTAATAGGGGTGGACAGGCCTGCTAGATCCCTTGTCAGAAATTCTGTGCATCAGCAAAGCATGGGTGGGCCTAGGATCTCCTTAGGCAGACCTCTGGAGGAGCTGAGTCCCTGGAGGCCAATAGGCATGGCTACACCTAATGACTGAAGGCTAGTGACTGACTGCTCTGTAGACCAACATGGTTGCAGTCATTATGGGATGCCCATTACTATTCCAGGGTGTGGAAGGAATCAGTAAACCCAGCCACAGGTGCAGCCAAAGAGAAATAGTCCTAAGGCTGTAGCCTTAGATACAGGTCTTTGTTGTGTGTTGAGCAAAAAGGATGTAGGTAGAACACTTAGAGCCTAGAAAGCTAGGACCACAGCCCCTTATTTCCTCCCTCTCTCACTGTCTTACACACACACACACACAAACACACACATACACCTCCACAAAACATAGCTAGCCATGGTTAGGTCTCTGGAAGGCAATAAAAGGCTTTGGCAGGAGCTGTATAGCATGTGCTGGAGTACCCAGGACTATCCTGCTCAGGGTAAAAGGAGGCTCAGGTACAGACAGGCCTCTCTGTGTCCCTCTTCCCCTTGTCCCAGCCATAGGATTTGTTCATATGTCTTGGGGATGGATCCCTGCTTACTGAGGACAGTGTTTCTCTGTTCATTTGATTTTCCTCTTCCTCCTCCTACCTAAGAAGTGGTGGGAGGGAATGGCTAACCCTGAAAGCACTCGTGTATGTTTTGACCCCAAAGAATCAGAACAGAGGGCAGCAGTGTGCCTAGGCTGGGGCACAGGTGTAACCACTCTGGGTGGGGGTGAAAGCCAAATGTCCTGGCCTTGCCCCAACTTCAATTTTCTCCCTTAGGTTAGGAGAAGAGTTTCAAAAGGGAAGCCTCTGTCTAACCCAAGGATTTTTTTTTTTAAGGTTTTGCTATAAAAAACTTTTTTTAGGTGTAAGATGGGGGGGGGGGGGCGGGGGAATCAAATAAATGCAATTAAGAAAGAGATAACAATACTGTTTTTCCTCCTGGCAGATGAAGGAAGAAAAAATCCTAATATGGAAAAACCAAGTTATCCTCTGGGATCTAGTAGTGTTATTCCTAGGAACACATTCCAAGGATGCACATCAAAAGAATAAATGTTGTATGTACACAATGATCCACAGAAGTATTATTCAGAGGAGCAAAGACTGGTAACTGTCTACTAAGATGCCCCACAAAGGGGTAGGCCAAACAACAAAACAGCTAATAAAATATTCTCCAGCCATTAAAATGAGTTACAAATGTAAAATCACTAAGATTCTGGGAAATGGTAATAAAGCATTGAACATATTATATGCATAGTATAGTTGTAAAATATCCGTATACATTAACAAAGATTAGTAGCAAACACAGAGAATTAAGATAACCACATGACATTACAACGGATGGACGCTTAACAAGTTTGTTTCACATTGTGATAAAATGGTTTTAATAACTCCACCTCCATTTGTTAGATGTTCTGAGGCTCATTCTAACTCCAAATATTCTGAAACAAGTGTATAGAAATCAAACAAGCTGGTCTGAGGAAAGAGAGTGCTGTCACTATCCTATTTCTAGCTGGCAAAAAAAGTTAAAAATTACCCCAAAGTAATAATTTTCCCCAAACAAGCTGTATTTGAAGGAGCTAGCAGGAGAGGGTTCATGACCTTTCCTATCATAGACAAGCTGGTTCCTCTGCAGAGAGCTGTGTGGCACGGCAGACAGTAGACAGGAGAGTTTTCCCCCACGCGTGCTCACTGTTGACATGATGTTTCACCAGGGAAGGGCTTGGGGAACTCAGCAGGTTGGTTTGCATTCCCATCAAGGTACACTGTGGGCATCTCTGCTTTTGGGAATCCAGGATGGGCATAGTGCCATGCTTCCTACTGCTTTTCTTCTCCCCACCTCAAGAGGTAGAGATCTGGACCTAAGAGACTAGGGCTCTAATATCACCTCAGGAAAAGGCCTCAAGCATGTATTTCATGTGGCTAAGTTTCATGGTGGAGGAAGTTGCCACATCTTAGTCATTGTCCTGCCCCTGGAGTGTCCCTTTAACTTGCACAGAAGGAGACCTTGAAAAATAGCTGTGGGTAGAACAATCAAATGCAAAGCAGAAAAGAATTAAAATAACAAGATGAAACCAGAAATGCAGAGTCTTCCACAGACAGAGCCTTTGACTTGCATCTAGGTGTCATTATGACTGCTCACTGCCTGCCTTCCTGTGGTGAGAGGAGGCTCCCCCACTGAAAGGCTTCGGGGCACATGGTGGGTCCAATGGATGGTGGAGAAAGCCACCGTCACCACCACAAAATGAAACTCTGAAACGAAATGCGAAGTATAACCAAATCTTCAATGTCCAGAGTATAAGAGTTCTGACCACACTGCAAGAAGGCAGGAAAAACAAGTGGATGGGGTACGACTGTAAGGAACGCAAGGGATGGACACCACCACATCAGCAGCTGCAGGCTCCAGGTCAGCATGCTGGAGTCAGGACTACTGGGTCGGTGCCATCCAACCTGAGCTGCTGTGTGAGAGCCGTCCCAGTGACCACCAGGGGATGAAAGGCATCTGGACATGATCCTTCAGTCACCCAGGCTTTGCAATGTGTCTTCTGTTCCATGTTACACTTGCCCATCTTTGACAATATCCTCTTTAGTGGTACCTCAGTGATATGCTGTGATTCACCAGGTTTTAACAGCATGGGGGTTGACTGGAAATCACTGTGATGACATTTTAGAGTTGAGAAGAGGAAAGACAACTAAAACACAGTTTTTACAGTGCAGTAGAACAAAACCATTGCCACCTGGAACCATCACAAATGTCTGTTTGAGACATAGTTCCTTTTAAGATCTGCTGCTTCCCAAGACAGAACCATTTCCCTTTACCAACAGGACAAGTTAATTTTTAAAGTAGGCAGATTCTCACTTTAAGAATTCCACACATGTCCCTACACTGCCCAGAACTCCAGAATTCAGCTCCAGAATGGAAGGAGAAGACCTACCAAACACAGATTCTATGACTGTGGAGTAACGTGGGGGTAAGGTAGTGAGGGAGTCTCAGACCCTCATCTCACATACAAAAAAATGAAATAGCAGGCTTTATACATTGCTCTTTTCATTGAGAAAGCAGAGGTCCTACCATCTCATCCTGCGTGGAGTCGTTGTCAAAGATCTTCATTGGTGGAGGGAGAGGTGTGTGTGATTCTTCATCTGGCTCGTCTTCACCCCAACCTTTCTTGCTCTTCTAGAACAAAAGAATGGCATTAGTTACTGTTTCATATAGTAAAAGACATGCTATCATTTCAATTTTGGTTTCTTTCTCTGTAATATGGATCTACCTGTTTATCAAAGGACAATGGGAACCAAATGGTGGCAAATACTCTCTAAAAATGAAAACCAAAACATTTATCTCACTGATAAAAAAGAAAGCTGAACGGGTGGTTACTACTTTGAAATTTTCCAAATGGCTGTTAAACCATGATGGAAAAGACACCAGACTCTTACATTACTCCCAGAAGGAGAAATGGTTGGTGGCATAAAGTTCTAAAAAGATTGAGACTGGTTATCCATGTGGAAATATTTCTCAGCTTCAGAAATTAGTGTAGGTAAATTATGTAGATAAAAGAATTATCTCATTCCTCCTACCTAACTGTATCTTATATATATTGAGATTAGAATCTCAGCATTGTAAGATCACCTGCTTAACCTGGCAGCTAACACTAGGTCTCTGATGTGAGATCACATAGTCAGTGCCTAGGCCCTTGCAGTGTGGGTGTGAGCTAGTTTACTACCAGATACTCCATTAAGTTCCTCACTGAACTGAGTCCTTACGTAATGTCACCTCTGTCTGTTCTTCATAGCTGTCCTCTCTGCAGCACTTTTTTTTTGTGTGCCAGTACTGGGGTTTGAACTCAAACCCTAGGCACTATCCCTGAGCGTTTTTTCCTCAAGGCTGGTGCTCTACTACTTGAGACATACTTCCATTTCCTGATTTTTGCTACTTAATTGGAGAGAAGACTCTCATGGACTTTCCCACCTTGGGTAGGTTCAAAGGACAATCCTTAGATCTCAGATTCCTGGGAAGTTAGGAATACAGTCCTGAAGTACTAGCACCCAGCTACATGTGGCACTGCTCTAGACACTTGAACCCAGCTCAAGCTTCTGTTTTCAGAGTGAAATGGTCTCCATTCTCTCATTTGTAGTCTAACCAGGTCTGGCTGGTTTTGCTATAGTCTTTAGTAGTGGCCTCCTCAGGTCAGGCCACTATCTCCAAATTTGGTAAAGTGGGTTTCTATCTGGATAATCTGGATGCTGGTTAGTTTCTGAATTGGTCACAAATCAAACCAGTCAAATGCCAAGGATAAAAAGAACTCAAAGAACTGAGGCTCAAGATGACAAACTACTGAAGCCAAGAGACCAACTGTGACAGGCCTGTCAAGGGTCCCCTCTGGATGGGGGTGCCCTCCTGGACTGTGGCAAGTACCTCATCGGCACTGTCTCCCTGTGGAGTGGTCTCATCCCCAGGCTTGGGAGATCCCAGGTCGAAGCTCTTCCGACCATCGCGCACTTTCTTCTGCTTTTTGATGTTTCCATCTGTTTTCCCACTGTTGAGCCGACGCACGGGACTTGTCAGCCACTTTTTAAGCGTGTTGGTGGAGCGCTTGGGACCCGGGGAACTGTGGATGGAGTTCAGGGAGGACTGAGTCTGCAAGTTGGCCACGGACTCCGATTTGCCTCCATTTTCACTGGAGGAATGAGAATATGCATCTGAGGAGGAAGAACAGTCAGACATAGCCATGTCAGAGGCAATTGTCGGGGAGTCAGATAGCTCCAACCCCAGGAAGTTAGGACGCAGGTAATATGTAGGTCAAGTATGCCGGTCAAGAGACATAGTAATGGCTGATGCTCAATCAACTTTTAGCAGATAAGGTGGCATTCCAGGAGCTGTGGGGATAAACTTCCGTAGAGTTTATATTCTGGTGGGAAACACATATAATAGACTAGGATATCAGCAACATAACTAAAATGTTAAGTGTCACAAAGTGAGAAGATCTAAGCTAAAAAAATGAAGTGGGAGCCAGGAGCCGGGGGCTCACGCCTGTAATCCTAGCTACTACGGAGGCTGAGATCTGAGGATCATGGTTTAAAGCCAGCCCAGGCACAAAAGTCCAGGAGACTCATCTCCAATTAACCCCCAGAAAAACGGAAGTGGTGCTGTGGCTCTAGTGGTAGAGTGCTTGCCTTGAGCTGAAGAGCTCAGGGACAGTGCCCAGGCCCTGAATTCAAGCCCCATGACTGAAGGAAAACATAAATAAAGTGGGGCAAGACAGTAGGGATGGAGGGTGAAAGTTAAGTAGATCAGGGAATGTCTCAACTTGATATTTGATCATAACTGAAAGGTGGTGAAGAAGAAATCATATGCCCATCTTGCAGACAGTGTTGCAGGAAGGGAAAAGAAAAGCAAACACAAAGGTCCCAAGGCAGGACTGGAACTATGACAGGGGTGGCTTCAGTGGAGCAAGGCAAACAGCAATAAGAGAAGAGAGTTCAAGAAGCAGTTGGGACTGAAGCTGGGCGGCCAGCGTTCTCCCTTCGGCTTTTACCTGGACAGAAAACCCACTGGAAGATGCGCCAGAGAGAAACAATCTGCCTGACAATTGACAAGAACATTCTGGTTTCGAATTGAGGATAGTAGAAATAGCCTAGGAGGCTATGATGCTAATCCAGGTGAAGGAGGCTGGTGGCTGGGAGAAGGGAAGTACTGGGAACTGCTAGGAGATCAAATTCTGGGTGTTTTGACAGCAGAGTCAGTAGGGTTTTCTCACAGGTTGTATATGGGCTGTGAACAAAGCAGAACCAGGATGATTTGGTTTTACCTGGAATAACTACTTGGATGAGGTTCCTGAGATAAGGAGGAGTAAGTATGGAAGAGAGAAGATAGGAGTTCAGTTTCAGACATCTTTGAGATGCCTATTAGACGTGAGTGGAGAGGTGAATAGTAACTTATTATTATTAAGTCTAGAGCTCAAAGGAGAAAGATGGTGAGCTGGAGATGACGGGAAGGTTGGCAGTGAAGCTTGTGTTGGAAGCTGTGAAGCTGGGTAATATCATCAAGGGACATAAAGAGAGAAAAGGAAGACATCCAAAGACTCCAAGGGAGATGAGAGGGCAAGGGAGCAGCCAGAGATGCAGGAGGAGAAGTAATGAGTGTGTGTACTGGAGGCTGCATATAGGAAGTGTTTTATGGAGGAGAGTTCAGCTGTGTCAAATGCTGCTTGATAGGTCAAGAGGGTTGACCCAAGAATAAAGTCTTAAACTTTAACAACATGGAAGTCACTGATGACTTTGCACAAAAGCAGCTGTAGTGGAATGGAGGGGGCTGGGCCTGATTAGACAGAGTTTCAGAGAATGGAAGAGAGGAAGGAGATGGAGAACCCTTGTTTTGTTTTAAAGGGATAGTGATTAGAGATCAAGAGAGTTTGTTTTGTTTTTTTAAATGGCAGAAATCAGCATATTGTTTGTAAGATGTTATGTCATTTATTGTCTATTTTCAATGTTGTGATGTGCTTGCAATAGCCTAAGCATTTTACATGAACCATTTTATTTCACTCTCACTATGACTCCATGAGGAAGGTCTATTATCCTATTCTAGAAGGGAAAATTGCAGCTCAGTGCTGGTGGCTCATGCCTGTAATATTAGCTACTCAGAAGGCTGAGATCTGGAAGGCTGTGGTTTAAGGCCGGTCCAGGCAGAAAGGTCTGCTAGACTCCATCTCCAAAATGATTATGAAAAAGCAAGGCTGGAGGGTGGCTCAAGTGGTAGGGTGCCAGCCTAGCAAGCACAAGGCCTGAGTTCAAACCTTAGCATCATCAAGAGGAGTCATAGGCAGGGAAGAAACTGCACACTTAGAGAAACCAGTAAATCTGTCCAAGGACATACAGCTCCAAAGATGAGGAGACCTATACAGCAGTCAGCAGGACTTGAGTGCTAAACTACCCTTTTGAGCCTTTCATTCCTGTGCCCGTGCTCAGTTCTCTGACTGTGGGGCGACAGCTAACACTGAAGGCAAACAAGTACAGGGAAGACACACTGTTCTGGTGGCACAAGGGTGCTAGGAAAGCCATGAGGCAGATCTGGGCATGCGAGAATAGCACCCAAGCCAAACTTCATTAAATTTCTCTCAAATCTGAAACATCTGAATACCCATTAGACTCTGCAGACCCAGAATTAGGCTCTGCCTACTTTGGCTTACAAAAACCTCTTTCAGTTATTCAGAAAGAAGTTCATTAAGCCCCTGTCAGATGTCTTTCTTCTCTTGTTGCTCATGGTTGTGGCTCTTGGTCCTAATAGTGTTAAGGAAGTTAAGGTCTTAAGAATTCTAGAAGTTGCACAGTAAACAGTGGCATAGGCACACAAACCAAGATGCCAGGCAAGAACTACTAACCAATAACAATGTCATAGAGCACCTATTAGTTAGTGTGCTCTAAAGACATACAGATGTAGACCCAACTTTCATAAATTCCTGTGTGATTAATAGCCACAGACTGGTAAGGACTCTGGCTGATAAGTAAGCAGAGTTCAGAGGAGGGTCAGCTCAGAGTGGGCAGGGCTGGTCTGAAAAGCTTTAAGAAAAGAGATATAGCTGAACAGAGAAGGAGGGAAGGCATTCCCAAAGGGAGGGCCAGCAAGAACAAAAGCATAAAGTCAGGGAAATTGAAAAAGAAACAAAGGAGCCCATGACAGATCCTTTGGAATGAAATAAAAATTAATGGGAAGAAAAATAAAAGATTTGTAAGATTTTCGATAACAAACTGGAGGAGTATAAACTGTTGAGAGTCTGCTGAGAAATTATATAATTTTGTAAATCAAATTGGCAACTGTATACAGCTGAGTGCCGTGAAGTAGCTTGGAATCCTGGTTACATGAGGGCTGTGCATAGGAAATACAAAGGTACGAGTGTGGGACATTTTAAAGCAAATAATTTCACTAGTGTCTGGTTGACAATGTCTCCATGATGCTTCTTCTCATCACTGGTCTCAAGATAACACCTGACTACCTATACCTCAAATGTACACCCCCTACCCCACAAGGTGCTGGACAGTGCCAGTTTGCATATTGATATTTAAACCAAACATATGACTAGGTATTTAAACAAAGATTCCAGTGGCTTTTCACATCTTCTCAAAGACTGAGTCATTTTTTCCTATCACAACTTTGCCCTAGACCTAGATTAAAGAGCTCCAGTCTATCCTTGGAAGACTTCAGGCTTAGACAAGGCCAATAGAAAGGGAATTCTAAAATAAAGTGAACAAATGTGCCTGACAAGACCGCAATCTCCAGCTTCCACCACTGGCTGACTTAGAGGGCACCAGCCTCTGGTTTGCTGGACTTAACCCTGCTGGGACTTTCTCAGAGAGGGTCAGCAGTTGGTGTATACTCTGGAAAACAACAGCAGAGCATTTTCCTTTAGAAGTATTAAAAATTCAGTTCCCAATTTCCCTGGTATGAAGAATAACCTACAGGGTTGTTCTGCTCAGGGAATAGTTGGAGGTCAACTAACTTAGTTGGCATCCCTTTAAGGACAAAGTTGTAACCTTATCTCAGAAAAGTCCTTGCTGGCTGTTGTCTGGGGTATGTTGATACTATTTCTGAAGTTTTTGGTATGGGTTAGATTCCTGTCTTCAGAACCCAGTGATAAACATCTCCAGGAACACTGGTAGTAAAAGCAGGGCCTCTCTGCTATCTGTCTGCTGATAAGTGGCTGACATTTTTCACTCACTAGGCCCCTGGGGATGCACCAGGCTCTACTGACTCAGAACCTTTAAAATGTAGATTTATCAGCACACATGTGTCATCAGAACTAGAGGCCTAGCCATATTAACTGTGCTTTGTGCTACCAAACAAAGCAGAACTACCCAAGTTTTCTGTTCTGTAGCCTGGCTTTGAGATTCACAAATGTAAATTTGCAATGACCATTTCCCCTGCCCCTTTGTCATCTGGCTCTGCTTTTGTGCTTTCTGTGTAAATTAATGGTAAGTGTACAAGAGTAGAAAATTAAAAATCAAGAGTATTCTCAGCATCATTGTTTCGAGTCAACATCGTTGTTTCGAGTTTATTTTAGGTAAACAATTGGAACCATTTAACTACGGGCCAAGTAATGGAAATCTAAGTGTTGGAAACAATCTACGATTCATCATCTAATTAGTGTTCTGTCTTGATATGGAACTATTTTTTTTTGCTTGGGCAAAAATGTAAGACTCTATCTCACAAACAGCTACAGGAAAAAGGGATAGGGTATAGCTCAAATAAAGTATCTGCCTATCAAGTGTGAGGCCTGAGTTCAGCTCCCCATCTTCAAAAGCAGTGTGACATATTTAGACTAGAAATTTGTACCAAGTTAACTGCTTCTTAGGAGAAAGATTGGAATCTAATGTACATTTCATCTTTGGAAAATAGCTCCTATATGTTCTCTGAGTGTTTGTTCTATTATCTTTCCCAGAAGAACAGTTCAGTGACTGATTTATAACAACTACAACAATAATATTGTTTTCTCATCCAGTCATCCTGAGTGGAGGGAGGATGTATTTATTATGATTCTCATCTTAGGAAATAGAAAATGAGTGTTCTAGCAAATTGAGGAAAAAGCTAACCTGGATCTGACTCTCCTGCACATATATTTCATCTTACTTTTCTGTGGTCATCAGATATGTTCCTTTAGCCTCCTTCTTGCAATTATTATAAGAAGGTACAGTCTTTTCAGTGTTTC